TTTTTGAAGACAAAGAAATCATTGAAGAGCAAGTTTATTTGTGTCAGCAACATATTCGAAATATAACTTAATGAAAAGAAATTACAGATAAAAACAAATAAAGAATGAAACGTTTTTACCATACGAAATCACTCGAAATATTCATTACATTTTTTTGCTCTTCCAAAATCTTTTCGTTGTGAATTTTACTTGGAAATCTTCCATAAGTTGTTTGTCGAATTCAATAGAAGGTATGAAACGTTCCAAAACAACAGCTTTGTTTTTCTCTTGCATAATATTTTCTGACTTGTGGACAACATTTCTTTTTTGGCTTTTATTTCATTCCCATAAAACATTTGGTTGTAAATATTAATAATAAGTAATATTTTAACTATAATTATATAATAAATAAATTCTTATTGGTAGAAAAAAAAGTAGTGTATCAACCCGTCTCAAATGCCGAGTTTTTATTTGAAAATAATGAGTCTAATCAAATGTCGAAAAAATATATGGAACTTAGAAACATAATATCAGATTTAGCTTTTGCCTAATTTAACGCGAGTTTTAATTATCAATAACATGTTTTTGAACCAAAATTTCTTCGTAAAATTTTGATTTTTCTTTTGGAACAAGGGCAAAATCGGTTAGGTATTCAATGGGTTGAAAAACACCTGATTCCACACTCAAACACATCTTAAATTGTATTTGTTTGGTATTCCAAAGAAAATACAAGAAACAAGAAAAGTACAGGAATTTTCATGAAGGTAATAAAAAGAGACGAAAACTTTCAAATTCAATGAAAACATCGACAGCCAAAACAGTCCCTCTATTTCACGAGTTCGATTCAACACCAATTGAAACGTCGTCAGACTATCGACTGAAGCTTTGTTTCTGCCCACTCTGTTCGCATGGATTTGCTGCATTTGGCCCTACTGACTGTCGAGGTATCATCTCTTGGCAACACATATGCAGGATCATACTTTTCTCACTGACTGTCAAGGAGAATCCAAAGAAGTTCTTCAGTTTAAAAGGGGATATGCTACAGTTTATAGTGGAGCATTGGTACCTCTTTCAGAAACTCCAACAATTTCGAACAAGTCCTTCCAAATGGAAAAAGGCCTTTTTGTTTGTTTCTTTTGAAAGTCGATGTATATATATATGTATACCTTATACGAATAAAATACTAATTACGACACATTTACTACTTTTCTTATTAAATAAATAACCATCGCTTATACTCAGAGACGCGCTAAGCCACTCAACGTTCTTCGAAAGTGGAACAGGTAGCCTCAAAAAGCCGGGGTTTTGGAAACTGACAAACACGGCAACTCCTTGGGACGACAAAACCGATTACTTTACGCGCCCAATACCAACAAAATTGGAGATGCAAAAGACAGTGGAGCTCTCATCCACGGAGGAGAAGTCGATGATTTCTCAATTCTCAAAAGTGAAGATCGAGAAGTATTGTGTTGATGCAAAACAATCATTTGCGAACGCACTCAACTCACTTCAACGGCAGATGAAAGCTTCTTCTTGTGAAGACTCATTCAATGTCATCAACCAAATGAAGGAAGTTCAAACTGTTCTAGCCAAGACGGACTCCATCCTCGCGCAATTGAAGGAAATTAATTGCGTTCAAAGTTCGCCAATCCCTCCCCTCAATCAACAATTCATTCTTCCCCCTCTTCAACTCCCCGAAGAGCCAAACCCCTTTGAAAGTTTTAATCCACAAATCTTCTGATTCAACAGAAATGCTTTGGGGTGAGTCCTCAAGCCAGAAGACTTTGATTTCTTTGTGTATTTCATTTCTTGTTACTATTTTTGTTATATATAACATTTTTAATGCTAATATCAAAATAGAACACCCAAAACGAAGAACAGCGAGAGGAAAGAGAAGAGTAACAAAGTGAATCGGTGATATTAAAGTGGCTCAACTGTGAAATTTAGAGTGAATGAAGCTATTGGTGTGTCTTCTAGTTTTTGCAGTGGGCGCGTTGTCGTATGAAATTGAGTATATCTTCAAAGACAACAAGTTATGCAACAAGTGGCACATCTACTCGACCAATTCAGAATGTGAGTTTGTGGAGATCAATGAAACCATCTTCTACAATGGTAGAATACTTGACAGAATCTCTTTTGTTAATGAAGAAGAAGTGAACACCACCGTCTACCTGTCACTTCAATTCTATGTGTACTACCAAGCTGATGATAACAATACTCGACTCTTCAAGGTGGAACTCAATGAAACAAGTGTTGATGCCAAGGAAGTCACTGTCGCCAATTTTACAGCAACCCCAAATAGTGTCCAGGCTGTTGTCGTCCCCATCACTAAGAACACTACTCAACTTGTTTCGCTGTATGTTATTGAAGCAAATGGCATCAAAGACGAGACGGTTTATTTGAAAGATTTGAAGTTTGCTGATACCCTTGAATTCATTGAGACATTGAACGTTGGAAGTTCAGTGGAAGGCAGTGACCAAGTGGTGTTTAAGCCGGTCGAACTGACATGCAAGAGTGGTTCTGAGCACTTAGTAATGTTGTTAGTAGTTATGATGCTCTTTGCCTTTATCTTCTAATTCATTAGAATTTGTTTGTATGTTGCACGAGAACAAAACCAATAACATATCAATGAGTTAAATACAGTTTGACAATATCTTTGTTTGTGACGAATCCTTCCTTCGTCAAATTGTTCTTCGCTTTTTCCTTTCTATAGAGCGTGAAGTAAATCACAAAGATAGAAACAAGGAGGACAACGAGAAAAGCAATTGCCAATCCAATTGCAACAGCTATCCCGGTACTAAATGCACCATTGTCACAACATATATTCCCCTGTTGATCATATGAATATCCACCTTCACACTCATAACAAGCAGTTCGGTCATAACTGACCTCCCCATGACATAACTCACAACTCGTCTGATTACTTTCGGGCTGATAAAGTCCCTGAGAACATGGATAACACACTGAACTCCCATTCGACAACAAAAAGTAATAGCTGCCTGAACTACATTGTTGGCACGACATAGATCCAGTTAACGAGTACGTCCCAGTTTCACATAATTCACACTGAGTCGAACGCAATCGATTTGAGTATGTCCCGGGTGGACAGTACATACACCCTACCTTTCCAGTCTCATTCTGGAAACTCCCTTGAATGCAAAAGTTGCACGACGTCGCACCCGTTTTGTTCATAAAAGTCCCAACAGGGCACTTGATGCAACTTGATTGTCCAGACATATTCTGGTAAAGCCCTTCATCACACTCAAAACAACTCCCATTTGTTGCGCTGTTCGAAAAAGTCCCAGGAGAACATGCTACACATGCAGATGTCGTGTTGTCAAATGAATACCCGTCTTTGCATGAATTTTCATTGGCGGCAGGAATATTGATGTCACTTGAAACTAAAGAGACTGGTGACCCGTTTGAAAAATACAAATAGAAGTAAAGTAATGACAAAAACAATGGATTCTTCATCTCAAGAAATTATACGACTTTTTAGTTTCTTTGGAATTATTTGGAAAATTTGAAGTCTTTCGATTTACCTTCAAAAGAAATTTCTGTTGACTTTATTAAATTGCTTTTTATTAGTTTATGAAACTATTCTTTATTTATTTATAGAAATTGCTATCTTCTTATAGTTTTATCAAATGAAATCTTATTATTTTTTTATATCATAATTATTAATTATTAATTATTTTGGAATTAGAACATATTAACTTTTTCTGAATAAAAAGTATCATTTTTTAACTTATGTTATGTGGTTTATAAGTTTCGTCCATATTGGGTATGAACCGATGTAGTTCTTGGTTTATAATTAATTTTTCATTATAATAATAAGTGCAAATATAAGACTTTATTCTTGTGCAGTCTATGACACTTAAGTGATAGACAAGACACACTATTATTTGTGTTATTATACAAAAACATTAATAAATAACATATTTTGTGTATTTTATAGAAACCAGAAATAGAAAGAGAAAGGTAGAAATAGTTAGTTGATTAATTGATCAAAGTTTGTCTTCCTTTGCCTCAACAACTTGCTCGACATCACCGTACTTCTGGACAACACAGACGACACTGTCCTTGTCAGCCATCAGCATTGCAATTTGCTTTCCACACTCATCACTTTGCATCTTCAAATCGTTTCGTGTTTGTCCATCAGCACCAAGAAGACTCAAATACCCGTCTTCAATGTCAATGATTGTGTATTCGCTTCGTGTGACAATTGGGACAAGCACGTCTGCGTGTGCTGGACACCCGTAGACAAGACGCTTTCCATTGAAGATGTCGATTCCAACAAGGGTCACTTTAGCATGTCCATGTTTCCCAACTTTTGTCTTGTTGTAACTGATGATTTTGCATGGGCTTTTCTCAATCACAACAAGTCCACCCACTTTCAGACATCCCGCCTTTGATGGGTAATACGGCTTTGAATTGCTTTCAAAGACTTGAAACTCGCTACACTCAACTGCTTCCATTTGGTGGTGATCAAAGTTGTTGCGCCTTTATATACTGCAGGACATCATCATCAACCAAATCTCTTTTTGATCAACAGGTATGGTCAATGCACACAATTTCTGTCACAAATAAGACTGAAAATACGGCAAATGCACCAATGTGTCAATTTGAAATGTCAGCACACCAGCCAAGAATGATAGTTCGCCCTCAACTCGCCTTCTCTTTTGTTCGTTTTGGAAAATACAGCCAATCAAATCCGTGTGAGGGCGTTCTATTTATATCCCCCCTCAACTCGTTGCGTTTTTATCGTATTTATTGTATCTTTGTGAAGTCTGTCTTCTATCATATCTTATAACACTTCATTTATTTATTATTACTATACTATCTAATTATAATTATAATAAAATTTTTTATAACTTTTGGTTAAATAATCTTTTTTTTATACTATACTTTATAATTAAACAAATATAAATTCATACCATGTTTTTAAAATTATTATTATATAATTTGTAATAATTAAAATATTAATAAACAATAAAATAAATTATTATTATAAATTAATGATAAATACTTTTTGAAAGCATTAATTAATACTAAAAAAAAACTATAATATAATAAAAATTATAAGTTTTTAAATACAAATGAATGGTGTTAATTAATAAATTAAAGCAATCAAAGTCCAAATTACAAGTTCATAACGAATCGAGTAATAAAAAGATTGAGGTGTTTGTAACTCAAAAATCATTCATGACTGAAACTGTCATTTATTCTTCAAACATCTGTGGGCTCGAGATGCGAACACACACCATAAGTCTCAAAAACTTAATGGAGGCCCTTCTCAAGCATCCTGTTGAGGTGATTTACATCGACAAAAACCCGGAAGCTAAGAAATATATGTTTTCCAAAACAACTGTAAGAGGTATTTTCCCACTTTTGTTCCACAAAGGGGAGTACATTGGAACTTACGAAGAAGTCGTTGATTTATCCGAGTCTAACCAACTCGCTGCTAAACTCGCTTAGTCACACTAACACACTTCAATTAGTCTTTTTTTGTTTTTTTCCTAATTGCCCGTTTTTTAGGCGCTGGCATTGCAACGTCTTTTGGCTTTTTGAGACTTTCAATTCGTACATTTAATTTTGCGATTTCATCATTCCGCTCTTGTAACTGACTTTGAACGGAGTCAAGCTGAATTTTTCGACCAGCAATTCTCTTTTCAACGAGATCAAGTTCTTTGGTGAGTCGCTCCAAGTCGTTTGTCTCGATTATTTCTTTTTTTGAAAGGTCATTTTTGACTTTTCTTTTCATAAGTCTTAGATTATGTACAGACAAACTTTTTGCTTTTAAGTATGCGTCAGTGTTTTCAATAGTCTTCATCGATTGCGCGAAATTGTTGATGATATTTTTTATATCCCTCTTCCAATTCATTTGGGCAATTTGGGACTTATTGTGTTTTTCCTTATTTTCATCAAGCCGCCTCATCACCTTTTCTTTCAGTGTGTCCAATCTTTTCGTTGACTGGGTGAACTCATCCAATATTTTCATTTTCAAATCGATAAAACATTGTGCGCTCTTTTGTAGTGTATTTTGGTTAACTTCCATTTTTACTACAAACTTTTCTTCATTTTTTTGCCTTAACTGTTTATTCTTTCCTCCCTCACAATCTCTTCGATGTGACATACTATGTAGTATTAATAAAACAAACCATAATAATAGTATCTCAATTACATGACTTAATCGCATTGTTAATTAGCTTCACTCACTTTGCTGACTATCACGTAGTAATTGTCCTTCTCAAATCCAGACTCCACAACTTTGCATTCGTGAATTTGATTGACCAAATTCTCCAACTCTCCCTTGACAAAGACGTGATAATACCGTTCATAGACCTTTTCCCCATCCTTTCCAGTCTTTGCCTCGGGCTCATTAATCTCTGACTTTTTCTCTTTTCCTTTTTGTAGGTGCCATTCCACCATCAAATCCTGTCCCTCACGTTTCTCGAATTTCGCCTTTCAATCAATCTCAATCAATAAAAATACCATAAACAAATAATAATAATAGTACAATATTTTATTTTACCAGAATTATAGATAACAATTATTAGAACAACTAATACAGTAAAATCACTATATATATTGTATTATTAACAATATAAATATAGTAAAATTATTATACCTAATAGTACAACAAACCTGTTCCTTTGCCCACACGGTGATGATGGCCTTTCCCCCGATTTTGAGTACCCTGACGATTTCTTGAATAGCCGCGACTCTTCTCTCTTCGCTGGAAAAATGGTGGATGACTGCCACGGATATAGCGAAGTCTGCAAACCCGGATTTCACAGGGAGGGCGAGAGAATCGCTTTGGACGTTCTGGCTGTGTTGATGAGCGACGGCTTCAAGAAGTAAATTATAGCATTGATCGAATCCAACGACTTGAATGTCCTTGTTCACGTTGTGATACTTCCCATTGCCACTTCCAACGTCAAGAACAACGGCGTGTGGCGGAAGTGATTTTAAAAAAGACTCCACTTTAGGCCAGCCCTTGTACCGCGTCTCGGAGAAGTGACTTGCTATCACCTCATAAACCTCGCGGACATTTTTGATTTCGACTTCGGGTGTCTCGCACATAAGTGTTCTCGTTGTCTTATTTATAGTTATTTATAATTTTATTCTAAAAAATTAGAAGTATTATTATTATAAACTCAATAAAAAATGTTCAATTATAATTTATTTTAAGACTATGTAAATCCCTTTTAAAACACTTTGCTAAACCTCTACCATTTTGTTGACATGGTCCTTCTTTGGGATTTGATCGATCCAAGTAACAACAATGTTGTTTGATTGGCTTTGTGGGAAAAAGGACCTGATGTTCTTTTTTGTCATCGGCATAGTGACAGTGAGAACAACATCAGATCTTCCATAAAAGTCCTTAAAGATAACGTCGTGCGGCAATTTTGGTCCGAACCTTTTCACTTGGCTGACTGATTTCATTACGAAAGCGACTGTGTTGCCCATCCTTTTTTGGCACACTTCAGTTTGCTCTTTATGCCTTTTCAATCTCCCTCTCATTCTTCTCATCTTCGTTCAACTCATTTCATTGATAAATTTCCATTACGTTTTGGTATTTTACTGTACTATTATCAATATTACAACATACTATTCTAAAAACAGAATAGTATGTTGTATACTATTTTATACTATAAAAATACAATACAACGCACCATTGTATTTTTTACAAAGACATATCATTCCCGTTTCCACGTGACGGTAAAATCGATTAAAAATCAATAAATAGTAAGTGTAGCCTCCACTGCGTAGTGGTCTGACATGAATGGGAACTTAGCTCCATGTGTCTCGAATTTTCTGACGACGCACTCATTGCACCCCATCACGTTTCTTTCTGTGTTGTCTGATACCCCAAAGATATAGTCGAGCCGGACGTTAGGTTGGTCTTTGCACTTTGAAGTGATGACGTCATCGACGGAGACGCCATCGATGACTTCGCAATGAGTCACTGGGTGATACTTGAGATGATCTACCAAATGGTCGTGGAAGTCAAAGCCGAAGTCCTTAGCTTTCTTCATGAAGACGTCGTACTCGGCACTTTTCCCGTCGACGTTCATATCCCCGCCAAAGATGACGGGGTACCGGTCATGTGCAATATTTTCTTCAATAAAATTGAAAGCCTCTGGAATTTGAATGTCTCGAGCAGTTCGTGTTGACGTGTTAGTTATTGGGTCTGAAGAATAGTCCGCTTGGAAATGAGTGACAAAAACATGAAGCTTTTTCGAAAATCCCAAATCAAGTAAAACATGAAGAATCCCTTTTGCTGCACATCCATCTGAATATATCCCTCGGGTATAGACAAGGTGATGACTCTTTACTATAGGATACCGCGAAATGATGGCAACCCCTCTAGTATTGAATAGTTATTTTATAATTAATATTCTATTAGTAATGCTATGAATATAATAATATAATAATATATTTAATTATTAAAATAGTAATAATTGGTGGTATAATGAAATATGGTATTTTTATTAACGATTATAATTAAATAGTTTAATTGAAGAACAAACCCATCGATGGGATATAGAGGACATACAGGTCGATGAGATACGACACTATAAGGTAATCCACGAAGAACACACTCTTTAATGAAGTTATCTCGTCGTGAAGTGAAACTCCCAAAGAGTTCCTCGCAAAGAATGATGTCGTAGTTCTCAACCACCTCGTCAAGAATAAGAGAAAGACGTTCGTCTTTGAAGTCATTACCCCTCGCGGTTATCATAGGAGGACGAATATACATGTTATATGTCAAAACACGAACTTCCTGGTTTCGTAACACGTTAGACATAATATTGTCATATTTCAAGTAATTTTTCTGTTACAACAATAAAAGAATCGATTGTCTATCTCTTCAGTCACTTTTTTATTTGATTCTTTATTTTTCATTGTATTTTGTGAATAAATAATAAATATTCTTTATAACAATTTTATTATAATTTTACTATAATTTTACTATTGAATTTCGCTTTTTTCTTTTCAAGTAAAAAGGTTAAAAATTGTAACCTTTTTACTTGAGAAATAAGTTGAATTGTATTTTGAAACGTCAATCATAGTTATTTGACACTGTCATTAATATAGTTGTTTTATAGTTTAATAATAATAACTATTAGTTTGAATTAAAATATATAGTAATTATATAGTTCATTTGTTCTTAATAAAAAAGTAAAATTTGAATAATCATTTTTTTATGATTTACTGACTAATAGATTTTGTTTTAATAAAATAATAATTAATAACCAATGACAATTTTCAAAAAAAAGATGATGATATAGATTAACACTTAGAATAATTCCGTTGTTTTTAAATTGACCTGTTTTTACAGGGATATAAAGTAATTTTTTGATGTTTTACCATTTTTAGCTTTTGTATAGTTTTTCAAATAATAAATATTTAAAAAACTGGAAATATATTTAATAAACTCGAGATTTCCCGATTTTTCAACCACTTGAATTTTGTTCAATATAATTTGAAGTGTCAAGAAAAACATGATAATAATAACCATATAAAATATAGTAAAAAAGTTATAAATGAATTATTCCAACGAAACGAAATCATAAAAGTTGAATTAAAACATGGACTTAGCAGCATCCCGTTTTCTTTGGTTGTTCTTGTAAATCGATTTGCACTGAAGGGAGTGGTTCCTGTTGAGGTACATCTTTTTGTCTTGACGCGACGAGTGTTGCCGCCTTTGTGAAAGCCGAGTCAACGTTCCATCCCGTCTTTGCGGAGCACTCGAAGTACTCATACCCGCTTGTCACGCACCATTGACGAAGCTGTTCAGTTGACACCGCGCGGTTGGCGGGTTCGCAGTCGACTTTGTTGGCGATCACGACATAAGGGAATGTCTCCGGATCGCTAGGGTTTCCTCCGCTAATGAACTCCTTCCGCCACACTTCCAAGTGCTCGAACGACTCGACTACTGTCACGTCACACACCAACATACAGACATCAGCGCCTCGATAGAAGGCTGTTCCAAACGATGCAAAACGTTCGTGCCCTGCTGTATCCCACTAATAGATAAGTTTTATTGTCTCATTTTTGGTTATTATGAATGCATGAAAAATTTAATGAAACAAACAATTTGAAGGGAGGACTGTTTTTCATTGATAGTGATATCCTTGGTCATAAAATCAGCACCTATTGTTGCTTTGTACTGACTCGAAAACTGTTTGGTGACATATTGGTTGAGTAGAGAAGTCTTCCCAACACTGTAGATGAATATTAATTTTTTTATACTTCGATAAATACCACCAAAACTCTTATTGTCTTTTAACAGATGGAATTCGACGATAAGTAAAAATAATGTAAACTAAAAAGAACTAAAAACGTAACGGTGTATTGATATTTTTTTGAAAAATTTTTATTTTAAAACACTGCTATAATGTCGTAATTAATTAATGAGCAATTATTAACAACTAAGCAACAAACCCTGAATCCCCTAAGATGATGATTTTATACAGATTTTTCTTCTTGCGACTTGGGTTCATATCTTCTGGAGTTTCCAGTTTTTTCTAGTTTTTTATTTGAAAAGCTGTTCGAAAAGTTTTTTGTTCTTCTTATTTCTCTTTAGTTCTTGGACTCTTCTTTTTCTTCATCAAAAGGTTGGGATTATTATTCATGTATAATTAGTTTCTAAATCTCTTTAATTTCACAAATCTGTTGAACTACTTTGTTTTATCAAAAATAACAAACACTTTTGAAATTTAATTCATTACTATGATCGTATTCATACACTTTTGGGTCGAAATAATAAAAAAAATTAAGCTAATGAAATAATAATTCCAAATTCGAAGAAAATTCACTAAAAAATTCTAGATCCAACTATATATTATTTATAATAGTTGTTTTTAACTATTAATTCCAATTTAATTTATTATACAACACAATAGTATGGACACTTTTATGAAAAATTTTTTCACACCAAGTTTTCAGGTTTTTTTATTTCCTCAATTTAATAATATTATTTAGTTTTTTTCAAACGTGAAGCGTGATGATGAGATTGTAATCGATAAATTTTGAACACTTACAATAATTTTTTGTGACATATTTTTATCAAATAAATCGGGATATTATATTTTGGATAAATAAAAAAATACTTTATGAAAGTTGATAAAATGATGATTTATTTTTGAAATAACATTTATAAAGACAAAAAAAAAAGTTTTGTAAAAGGTAACAGATAAAAAAAATATATTTTTATATAAAATCAGATATAATATGCGAAATACATTTTGTTAACAAAAGTGTAATCTGTCATTTTTTTTTAAATAAAATTTGCATCTATTTTTCAACTTGAAAAAACACAACTCAAAAAATAATTCGTCATTTTCATTATTTCTTCCCAAAAGTGTTCATATTGATATTATTATTAAATACTTATAATATCATATAGTTAAATTGTAGTTTGTAATATTAAACATGGATATTTGTTGTGTTTATGGTTTATTATATTAGTGTAATTATTTCATAATTGGTGACTTATTTTATATATTTACTTGACAATAATTATTAATAATTAATACCCTTTTTTTCTGTTTTACCAAAAAGAAGGAAATGCCTATTAAAATAAATAAAACACCCAACCGAACAGCACAATTAACAGTCCAAAATGCCCATAGAAAGGCCAACCAATCAAGTTGATTAAAAACAAACTTAAATATATAACTATTATCAATAATAAAATAAATTATATTTCTTACAAACCAAAACCATCACGATAAAATTTATTTAACTATCGCTGAAATTGTTATTAAAAAAGCCCAAATGCCTTAGAATACTCCACAAGAGTATTTGGGTTTAAACTCATATAGTTGGTCATTATTTATGTTTATAACACACCACAATATCTCTAAAAAATGGGAAGTTGTAAAACATTTTTTAAAAACTACGGAAGAAATTCTCTTTCAAAAAACATCAAAAAACAATTCGCCACATTTGATTTTATATCCATTTTTGCTTAGACAATGTCCTTTTTCACAAACAGCCCTTTTCATTGTTACTCTTGTTTCTTTCAATAGTTTAGATATAGTTTTATATAGTTTGTGTTTGATATATAAGTCAGTGAAGATCACATAACCAAGACAATGTTCGACTTTGTGATGGACGGGTATGCAACAATTTCTGCTTTTCTCATCTTTGCTTCTCCATCCGTTTGGAACACACTTGGACACCTTGAATATAACAGTGGTAAGATCAGTGCTTTATTTAAAGGGAACAAAGAGAATGGGTATAGACTAGTGATGTTTATTATCATTTTTATGCAAATCATAAGAAATGTATTCTACTATTTGGCTTGCATCTACTCTGTCCCTATGTTCCCGGCTATAGACAATTTCATGAATTCAGTACCTATTGTGATGGATTGCCTTGCTTACCCACTTTTCATTGCTGGATGGGTATTATCCCTTTCATCTTTTATGAGACTTGGGTTCAAAGGTACATATGAAGGTGACTGCTTTGGATTTTTGTTTGATGAGTTTGTTTTATTTTTATTATCTAAGTGAAGACAACGAAAAGAATTCATAGAAAGAATGATCACTAAATTCCCGTTTGACGGAACTGTCCCACACCCTATGTACACCGGTGGTGCTATGCTCTTCTTCAGCTCTGCACTTCATTATCGCACGTCAACAGGTCTCATTTTGTCCATTTTCTCTGTGATGGTATATGTCGTCTTTTCTTATCTTGTAGAACAGCCGTATACTGAACAGATTTATGCCAATAAAGACAAAGCAGACAAAGCAAAAAGAATGAGTTCAAAAAAGGAGGAGTGACTCTCAACAACTAAATAATTACTTTATTCTATTTTAAAACTCTTAAAATTTGTTATTTTAAACACTTGATATGAAATAATGTCTCAACTTTTAACACTTCAAATAACATCAAACAACATTTAAGTGGTTTAAAAAACGGGGAATTTGGTATTTATAGAATAATTTTCCTTAATTTCAAAGGTTTATATTAAATATATATTATATTTCACTTAATATCAAAGAAAAAAATACAACAACAGTGAAAATATATTCCAGTAAAAATTTGTAAATTAAAAAACTTTGATGTTTTTTTACTTTTTAAATTAAATCGCACAACAATTCTAATGAACTAGAATGTATACTATTTTAATTAAAAAAAATCATTAATATATATCGGGATTCAAATACAAAATTCAATAGATTTTCCAGGTCATCAAAATCCGATAACCCACCACAAGGAGCCAAAAAACGTTGAAAGGAAAGAACGAAAATACTTACAACATCATTAAACCGTTTGTACTGTTTGTTCGAAGTGCAAGAGGACGTTGTGAACGAATTGTACAGCTTTTTGGGACATCATCATCATTTCCATTTGATCTCTAGAATTTGCCTCGTACAAATTAGGAGCGACGACAATAGCGAGGTTCTGCAGTGTCATTTTGTTCTCGTCCTTATGTTTTGAGACTTTGATTAAAAGAGCGAAGAGCCAATCCAACAAGTCTCGATTCATTTGAGGCAACGTGCAATACCCATTCCAGCATTCCTCGATACTAGGTGCCTGGATTTGTGTAGAAGAAAGTGGGTTCAAACACAGAGTTGGTAATTCTCTGAACCAAAGTTTAATTAAGTTCGCGACTTCGTTGATCGAAAAGTCCTTTTCAATGACCAACTCGCCTTTCGACGTGTTCATTGCACCTTTCATCTCTTTCATCAAAAAAGACTGCCCAGCCAACCGGAAAACCCCTTCACTCCTGAAGCCATCCAAACGCATAAAATTCTCGTTTAAGACGGAAAGTGGCTTTGGGAGGTGATGGTCGTCTGCAGTCACCCACTCTAAATCACTTGGGTCGACTCCAAAGACCCCGTCCTCCCCACGAAGTCGGACGTTAAACGTCTCACTCTTTGCTGCGATGTGCATTGAAAAGGGGACAACAACATTCACTTTTTGCTTGAAGACGACGGTCACTGTAATCCGATGAGGAGTATGTGGGGAGACTTGCCCACTCTTAGGGGCAAATGTGATTGTGTAGTCTGCAGTGGTATAGTCGTCGACTGAGTATTTGATTTTGGTCTCGCTGTCGTTCTGAATAGTGAACGGTTGTGACGTTGTCGTGTAGGTCAGGTCGATCTGTTTTGTCGATAAATTGATTTGTGCGTAGTCTACTGGTCAGTCCTCATTTCGTTGTTTGAATTTGAAAGAGAGTAAAACAATTAATGGAGTTAATTATTTGTTATTAATTCATTTCTAGTTCTGGTGGTGGACGTCTTTGCTAATTGAAAGAATTGAAAACAAAATATTGTATGAAATCGTATCGACGCGCAATGAATCATGTAAATAAAGAGAGAAAGAGTTATCGTGTTACACATTAATACAATAAGTTAACAACAAACTAATGGGCTTCGATTTTGAACCACCCATGAACTGTTTTTTGAGAACTTTTGAAGCAAATTCTAAAAATCGAGAGTTTCAATTGGGGCGTTTTTAATTTGAATGGTGGAAACAGCATTATTCACTCGATGGCTATTTTTGCTCTTAAAACAGCAACAGAAGTGGTAAGTTATTACCAATTTTGGCAAACTCCTTTGTTGGGTGTTGGAGTACTATTTTATATAGTTTAATTATAGTTTTTATCTGTATAAATAATCTTGTCCTTTCATTTTCAAAATATTTGTTGTAATTTGGTTAAATTTTTAAACGGGATTTTTTTATATCAAATTATAATAGCTTTGTTAATTGCTTTGTTAATACAAATCTATATTTCAATTTGTTTTGGTATAACGAAGATAAAAGTGCCGAATTCAATTATTTCTTTTTTGAGATACACATGGTGAAATATGTCAAAAAATTAGTACTATAACATAATGAAATAGTTTTTTTATTACCAAAAAAATAATAATAATCTTGAAAATAAAACAACTTTTATTGAGTTAAAAATAAAATTACATGTAAATACTTAAAAATTTATTAAAATATATTATATAAATTCATAATATATTTATATTGGTTTTTACTAATGTTATTTATAATTACTTAAAAAAAATAAAAAAACTTCAGAATATAATTTAAAATGTCTAATTTCTTTATTTGGATGTTTTAACAATAATAATTAAATAAATTATTTATTATTTTAATTATAAAAACAAATTAATTGATCTATTTTTACTTGTTAAAACTACACTTTATAATATTTTTTTTAAAGATCTAATTCAAATCATATATTTTATCAAATAAATAAAAAATTAAATGTTTAATAGTTTTATATATAAAAATAATAAATAATTTACATTTTAATATTTTATTATAGTTTTAATTATAATTATAATTAGATAGTATAGTAATAATAAATAAATGAAGTGTTATAAGATATGATAGAAGACAGACTTCACAAAGATACAATAAATACGATAAAAACGCAACGAGTTGAGGGGGGATATAAATAGAACGCCCTCACACGGATTTGATTGGCTGTATTTTCCAAAACGAACAAAAGAGAAGGCGAGTTGAGGGCGAACTATCATTCTTGGCTGGTGTGCTGACATTTCAAATTGACACATTGGTGCATTTGCCGTATTTTCAGTCTTATTTGTGACAGAAATTGTGTGCATTGACCATACCTGTTGATCAAAAAGAGATTTGGTTGATGATGATGTCCTGCAGTATATAAAGGCGCAACAACTTTGATCACCACCAAATGGAAGCAGTTGAGTGTAGCGAGTTTCAAGTCTTTGAAAGCAATTCAAAGCCGTATTACCCATCAAAGGCGGGATGTCTGAAAGTGGGTGGACTTGTTGTGATTGAGAAAAGCCCATGCAAAATCATCAGTTACAACAAGACAAAAGTTGGGAAACATGGACATGCTAAAGTGACCCTTGTTGGAATCGACATCTTCAATGGAAAGCGTCTTGTCTACGGGTGTCCAGCACACGCAGACGTGCTTGTCCCAATTGTCACACGAAGCGAATACACAATCATTGACATTGAAGACGGGTATTTGAGTCTTCTTGGTGCTGATGGACAAACACGAAACGATTTGAAGATGCAAAGTGATGAGTGTGGAAAGCAAATTGCAATGCTGATGGCTGACAAGGACAGTGTCGTCTGTGTTGTCCAGAAGTACGGTGATGTCGAGCAAGTTGTTGAGGCAAAGGAAGACAAACTTTGATCAATTAATCAACTAACTATTTCTACCTTTCTCTTTCTATTTCTGGTTTCTATAAAATACACAAAATATGTTATTTATTAATGTTTTTGTATAATAACACAAATAATAGTGTGTCTTGTCTATCACTTAAGTGTCATAGACTGCACAAGAATAAAGTCTTATATTTGCACTTATTATTATATAAATTATATAATATTATATTATATAATATATAAAATTATATATTTTGTAATATGTAAAATTGTGTATCCATACATCACTTTCCAGTTTTTTTATTGGAGTGGATCTACATTCGTGTTCACCCAGTATAAATAAGGAAAGTGGGTGATATGGAGACGCACAGACAGTAGCTTAAAGGTTGACTTTCTTCAAAAAACATTTTATATTTGTAGAGGTGATGGAGATTGTCAATGTTAATTAAACAAATAATTTATTAATATTTAAATTATATTATTAAATAATTATATAATTAAGTATTTTGCCACACTGTGGCAGATAAATCCTAGTTATAAATAATTACAACAGTTGGATTTTTTTATTTTATAGGAATAAGAAATATTAAAATTTAAAAAAAATAAAAACAATTGAATAAATTATTTCCGTTTAAACTATCATTTAAAACGGTTGTATTATAGTATTAATAACATATTGAAACTATACAACTACCCGAACAAAGTCGAATTAATGTTATAATTAAAAACTTTATAAAATTAATAATATAAATACATAACTACCAATTAATTATACATAAATTAACAATGAACCATACAGCCCTTCTTTCTTCGAACAGGGAAACTGAAAAAGAAGGCGATGACTGAAAAAGTGGACCATCTTCTTAAATTTTTAATTATCGGGGATACGGCTGTGGGTAAAACATCGATCTTATTGCGTTACACTGATGGGACATATACTGATGAATTTATCACGACTGTCGGAGTTGATTTTAAGGTTTCTTTGTCAGTGATATAATATCGAAAACACGACTAATTGATAGGTTAAAAAAATGGAGCAAAATGGAAAGAAGCTTAAAATACAAATTGTTTGTTTTTAAATCACGTTTATTGCAATAACTTGAAATGAGTACCATCACATCAAGAAAAGAGTATTGACTTGTAGTGGGACACTGGTTTGCAAGTTTTTCTATTTATTCGATTTAACCATATAATTACTATACAAAAACTAATTGTGTGTCACTGAGTTATTAACTGAGGTCTAGCTGGACAAGAAAAGTTTCACACGATCACACAGTCATATTACCGGTTTGCCTTTGATATTACAAATTCATATGATAGAGGCTCTAAACTATAATTATAAGTAATTAAACTAATAATTAATAATTAACATCAAGAGGGTCACATGGAGTGATTGTGGTCTACGACTGCACTGATGTGAGGACATTCGACAACTGCAAGGGGTGGCTTGAGGAGACTGCAAAAGAGACGGCGAACTCTGCTGTCAGGCTGTTAGTTGGAAACAAGTGCGACATGCCAAAACAAGTCCCAACAGAGAAAGGTGCGTCGTTTGCAAAGGCACAAGGAGTATATTTTATGGAGATCTCTGCGAAGAGTGGGATGTATGTGAACGAAGCTTTTCAACTTGTGATCGATGAAGTGTTAAAAAAGATGTGTGGCGACGTCAAGACTGGTGGGGCACAACAAGTCGAGATCGGACGAAAGGAGCAAGACAAAAAAAAGAAAGCATGTTACCTTATTTAATCGTTTTGTTTGAAAAGAGTGATTTTGTTCAACGTGTTTGGTTTTTTTAATTTGAGGATGCCATTGTATAACTTTACTTCTCAAATCGGCATGTTTATCGTATGAAGTTTGTATTAGTAATTATATTAATTACTTATTAGTATGTTATTAATTAGTTAATTGTGTCGTATTTAATAGAATGATGCTTTAAAAGCGCTACATAAAGTTGTCTTGAGTTAATGCACGTATTATGTAACATAATCGTTGAACGCTTATAGCTGTTCGGCGACTTCACAGTCCTTTTGAAAATCGCCGACTTTTAGTCGTCTTTAAAGTCGCTGACCTAAATATTTAGTTAAATAATTATTTAAAATACCATTTATCACGGAAAAGAAATTGAAAAAATCAACCATATAAATTTAATATAATTATTATTAAAAAATAAAATAAAACAATTAAGTCCCAATTATATCTTCTCAAATCATTTTTTAAATTATATTTCTATGATTATAATATAACAAATTATAACAACTATTGTGTTTTTACACATTTTTGAGACTATAATTAATATGGTATAATTTATTAAAGTTAATAGTTATTTTGTTCTAAAAGAAGTTGGCGACTTTTGAAGGGACTCAAAAAGTCGCCGACTTCTCAGTAATATCAAAAGTCGCCGAACAGCCATAACTTGTCGTTAATACCATAAAACTGATATTTTCTTGTGTTAATTATTTGACATTTGTAAAGTTTTGTTTTCTATTTGTTTAAAAAAACTCAAAATATTTATAGTTGATTTTTAAATTAATTAATAGTTGTTTACATTATTTTTAAAATAGATCAGTTAAAATAAATCTTTTTAATAGTATGTTTTATCATAATAAAAAACCTTTTTTACAATTAATACGCACTGACAGAAACTGTTTTATTATTTGAAAAAAAATACCATTTTTTAAAGTATGTGTAAAATAAGAAGTATTTAGTTTATAAAACCATTATCATTTAAAATTTAAAAAACTTAATTTCAAAACTGAAACACTATCTTTTACAACAACCTTAAGTGAAGTCTCAAAACAAAAAAATAAACAAAATATAAAAAAATGCTTTTTATTTGTGTAATTAATAATTAATTAATAATATAATAATATACTGGGATCACAGCCACTGAATTTCTAAATACCAATGGATAGTAGTCCCAATCCTTCTTAGAATTCAAATATACTCTTAATTATGAAATATGTAGTAAGGCTTATTGAATTCTATTATATTTGATATGTTCCTTTATAACTATTTGAATAAACTAAAATAAATTATAATGGGATTTTATATTATAACAGTATTATTATTTATAATACATTAAATTATATTGATATAGTTTTAATCAAAATGTATCAAAAATATAAAACAACAATATTTTGGTGCATTTAAACATTAAAATTCGGCATTTTCGTTATAAAAACAGTTGTTAATGATTTGCAATGATTTGTAAGTATTAATGTTGAAAAAGTAGAAGGTTGTATAACTTTTACTTCATATAATATAAGAATTACAAAGAATATTAATAATTTCATGTTTTAATGCAGTTTTTGTAAATTGAATCATAATAAACCTTACACACGAATGTGTGTTGTGTGTGTAATGACTAAGATATATTTATTGAATTTTTAGTGAATATTAATTAAGAACACAGAGTATCAGAAGCCAAGATATTTATAATAATATAAATAGAAAC